TTGTGCCTAGCTGTTCTGCTTCTGTTTCTTGAGGCCACGATCTAGGACAAAAATACTCTCTTAATAGGGTATTTCCACTGTAGAGTCCCAATTCAGTTAAAGTATATGGATATATTAGTTACCAAATGTAAAGTTGAGCAGCAGTATTAACAGTGATGTACCAGACACCTCAGAATTCACGCATGTGAGTTAAAAAGTCTCTCTGTCTTAGATTTGTAGTATCACAAGTGACCTCTCTCCCCCTTGCACTCTTTCTTCATAAGTAACACTGGCTAGAAAATTCTTTATGAAGATAAAAGACTTTCCTGGAACTGCAGAATTGAGTTTTAAGAAAAAACAAGTACTGCAAAGAACTGTAAAATTACTTGGTTTGTCAATGTGAGACCAATAGACTAAGAATAATATGTCATGTTGTATGATTAATTAATTCTTTTTGAGTTCTCTGATGATTTGTTTGAGAGGTAGTAAAGAGCAATCATATGCACAAATAATTGAAAAAATTAAATAGATAATCGATTTTTTAGTAAGCAAACAAACAAAACCTTTCCTTTTAAAAAAAAAGAAACTGAAGATCTTACATAGGGGAAGAAAGAATATGGTAAGTCTGAAAATGGTATAACATTGAAATGTGTTGAAACAACTTAGTAACATGGTCCCTTTCTTACAGTGTCTATTACAGGACTATATAGCTGCCTGCCTTTTTTAACAGTAGTGAGTTGTTTTTTGTTAATGAGCAAAAGATAATATTCAGTAACCAAATAGGAAAAAAGGCTGTTGTAATGCAATACTGTGAATATTGCTATCAGTATAAACATTTTCTCTCATGATGTTTGTCAGGTTTGTTGCTGCTGGTGTAACTACAGACTATGCTTTGGCTTGTCTCATACTGTGATAAACAATTTGAGAATAAAAAAAATAAAATGGAGAGAGAGAACTGTGTGTCATACCTGTGAACAGACCTTTCTGGTATGATGAGTAAATATTGCTGCAGGCTTATTTATCATTCCTTTAATTTATTTGTAGGTGGGTGGTATATTAGTCCAGTTTGCTGCTTGCTGCTTTAACAGTATGTTACTTTAAGATACTAATTTACTGATAATATTTAAAATAATTAGTATTCAGTAGGACACCAAATGTATCTAATCAGAAGCAAGAGGATTTAAAAGGATTAATAGAAACTTGCAGTGTTTTATTTCCTTAAACAATGTCAATTTAGACATGTTCTGCATTAGAGTTACTGCACCTGAATTTATATGTGGTCTATATACATGCACCATAACTCACCCCTGGAACAGGCACTATTAACATAGCTTTAATCCTTACATTTCTTGATTTGAGTCATGCACCACTAATCTGTTCTATTGACCCCATTCCCTTGAGTAACCTGTTACCTTTTTCCAGAACCAAAATTTGCTGAAGCCATCGTCACTGCTCTGATAAAAAGATTTAACTTTTAAACAAGTATTGTAAGAGCTACAGCTACAGGTTGCAGAAAACCAAATTTTCATGTAGTTCAAGTTCCAGCTTTGTCTGTTTTAAATCCTAGATGTGGCCAGCCTTAAGCACAAGCATCTGAAGTGGTTGCTTGGGGTTCCATGACTTGATCTATTCCCGCTTCTGCTTCTTCCCCACTTTTTACTGGGTTTTAGTTGCACTGCAGCAATTTCCCTCTGCAGAAGGGCCTGTACCCAGAGCAGCTAATCTGCATTATATTGTGATGTAGCAGTTTCCACGTCTGCTTTGTTTTATTCTGGTCTGTAATTTGGACTGTTGCCAGGCATGCCATTATTTTGTGAGGAAAAGTGGGGTGAGAGGAGTCTTCAGTATTTTTGGGGTGGGGTCATGGTGTCTAGGACTGGGAATGTGGGAATGCTGTAGGAATATAGGGATGGTCATCAATCCAGGAGCCTCAGTTTGGAGAGCTGTTGTGGACTGGGACATTGGAGTCAGTGGGGTCCAAGGATTGAAATCTGGCTTGGGAAAGCATGGGGCATGCACTGGAGTTGGAGAAGAGGAAAACTGTTTATAGATAGTTACATGGATTCTGAGGTTGTAAAGCACTGGTGAACTGTATTTTTAATACACATAATAAAAAATATTTTAAGATGCTCATTAATGTTGCTTGGAGGCAACTTTGTTAAAGGCTGGCTCTGACACTAAGCACTTTCTTTGGCATGCCTAACATAAATACTAGAGTAATAAATAGAGTATTTAATCAACTACCTTAATTTTGCAGCTTTATTTTCATTCTTTGGCTGAATTGGAATGTGGGAGGATGGAATATTAAAGTTTTCACATGGCAAGAGTAAAGACAGCTGGCCAGGAGAAATCACTTAGTTTTTAAATTGTAAAAATGTACTTAGTGAAGAACATGAAATTCTGTTTTAAGATAAATGATGAGGATACGTAGCCTTCAAAAATGTATGAGAAAAAAGATACCTTGTAGCAATAGTATAACACTTAAGTAAAATTTCTTAATGCTCAGAAGTGCAGTGATTCATACCTGCATTAGAACAGAATTTGAACTGTCTGTTGTGATGGTGAAGGTGTTCAGATTCCTGAACTGTGGCTTGTAGCTGTACTTATCGCTGTGTGTTAAACTGCTACTGGAAAGATCTTCAAAGAGATTCACAGGGATATCACTTGCTTGAGTTCATTTTCACATCCAGAGGTTACGTTCTTACTTTTGCATGCTCCATGAAGGCAATCTCGGATATGTGAATTCTCTATGGTAGTAGGGTATCTTAAAGTATCTGCTGCTTTTCCTTTAACATAGTGATATTTATTGCTGCTTATGTCTGTGAAATGGATTTATTTCAAGGCATACATTTTTACCACGGGCAGTAAACTGTTCTTGTGTATATAGAATTAAGTTTTGTCTTTGTAAATACGGAATTGTATCAATTCCTGAGCAGCAATCCTCACTAAAATGAATCAGTTTTGCCTCAAAACTTATATCATATGACCTAAAGCATGAAGCAGAAAAGATCCTTTAAAAATCAAGATAAATTCTACAGTATTTAATATGTAAGGTTCAAATGTATCCCACTTCCACACCTGCTTTTGGATGGAGGGACCAGGAATTATGAACATGGAAACCACTAATGCCAGAAGGAAATGTTTAGCAAATCTGAGACCATGTCATCTGCATTAGCAAGGGAAATTTATTTATTTGTCATGGGAATCAAAATACTTTTGTGTAGTATTGTAGAGACAAGTGTTCATCTAGGACTCTGATAACTCCTGGGGTTTTTTTAATGGTCCGTATCATTTACCGATTTCATTCTGATCTCATGCTTTTCTAAACATGATTTCTAAGGAATCTTCTGATGTTTTCTACCCGTCTAAATATGACACAGTGGGTTCCTGCTTCAGGATTGAGATTTCCGTAGGTAAATATTAACATTTTTTCCCCACTGTGTAGCTGAAATAAAGTTCCAGAACCAGGAATCCATTCAATAAGGTTGCTTCAGCCAACACATGGAGAAAGGGATATGAGTTTGATACAATTAATTAAACTTTTTGCAATTCTTTCAGAATGCTATGATCCAGCCCTCAATAGCTTAACTTTTCTTTCTTAGCTTTCTGGAACATATTATTTAAAACACCTAATTTACATAAGAGAACTAATTGAATATTTAGGGTGAAAAATGTGTAAGGCCTCACTTTCCCCATAACTATATTCATACTACCTTAGAAAGTTTTGTCAGAGAGAATTAGGGGAAAAAAAGATTTAAAAGGAATATTACATCTTCTAGGTACAGTGGCAGGGAAATAAAACGTTGCAAAATGTGGTGTAAGAACTGAAAGCAAGTATGGAGGCAGAGGCAATGTGGATTTAAGTTTTGAATTTGGAGTTTCTTTTTTTTCTTCCAAAAATGATCTTACCTTTTTACCTATTATGAAGAAAGAGTGATGCATATACACACAACCACCGAATTAGAATTTAGTCCACAAAGCAAATAAAGAAAGTTTCTCACTATGTTTGCTAGAAATCTTGTGACATTTGTCAGTGAAACAGCTTATCTGGAACAGAATTTGTATTGGACTGTTAAATTTTGTATTGATAGAATTTAAATTCTCATATCTTTCTCCTTTCATCAAATGTTTGTTTCCTCATTTTAGAAAGCATTGTTTAGATACTGTATGAAAAAGATTTTAAGTACCACATGAAAACAAGGTATTTTCATGTTTGCTTATGCTCCAACTATAAAAAAAGTATGAAACGGACGTTACAGCAGTACTGAATTGCCCCTCTTGAATTTCCGTGTGCCCAAAATTTGTGAAAGTATTCCTTTCTAGAAATGTTTCCTGACCTGTTAGTGAAGTAGTGAATTGGCATGTCAGATACATGGGAATGTTAGATGTTAGGGAGAGACACAGTAAGAGAGATTAGACTTGAATTTAAGACTGCTCCATATAGAAGTTAATATGGGAGTATTCGTTACAAACCTATCAGAGATAGGCTTTGCACTGGTGTGTTTAGCAGTAGTTAGCTCTTTCCAGTCTGAGATTTACAGAAGAGCAAGAATTCAGTCATGAGCTGGCCCAGCAGTTAAGTATTAAGTATTCTAGATGATCGTAGAGTCATAGAAGAGTTTGGGTAGGAGGGGACCTTTAAGGACCATCTATAGTCCAACCTCCCTGCAATAAGCAGGGATATCTGACCTCGAATATTTCCAGGGATGGGGCATCTACCGCCTGTACCGTGATGTGCAATGAATATTCAGTGTATTTCACTAGTATTAGTTAGCAATGTTCACAGCTGGAATAAGATTAGAATGTCAGAGAAATGATAGTAATTAACAGGAGTAAGTGTACTCCTTCCACAGAATTTTACAGTTTCCACAGTATCCCCTTCCATTTTTTGTTTAGCAAGACCTTATGGCTTTAAAGGTTTAAAAAAAAAAAAAAAAAAAAAAAAAAAAAAGAACTGTTTTCTGTGTTATTTGTGTATTGTATACTTCTGTAATAATCAATGTAATTATCTCTTTCTCTAGGGGTTGATCTCCAGGTTTGTAGTTCAAAAAATCCAACATGTTGTACCAAAAAGATGGAAGAAAGATATCAGACTGCAGCAAAGCAAGATATACAGCAAGTGCTTCAAACATCAAGTGCTACATTAAAATTTTTAATATCTCACAATGCAGCTGCTTTTCAAGGTAAGCCTTTCTGCTTTTTGTTTCCAACTGTGTTTGTACTTTTCTTGATTTTCATCTTTGATTAGTTTATGCATGTAGTAAAAGTTATCTGTAAATTTTTAGTTTCTCCCTATGCTTTTATGCTTTCAAAGGAGTATTAAATCAGCAGGTGATTAGAAACTGCATTGCTTTTAGAATTTGTGACTTCTTTTAAAAGATAATATTTGAGAAAAAGTAAGAAACCTTTTCAGTAAGATGATTTGATTTGAATTGTAAACCAGTAACTTGGCCTTCCTCTTGAACTTCTTTAATTCGGATGATACTGAAGTGCAAAATTATTGCATGGACTGCTACAAAAGAGAGATTTTGTTATTCCAGTATTTATGGCCATCATGTTCTTTGTTTTGTTCTAGTTGAAATACTTGGGTAGATTGTTTTTGAGGTTTGTTCTTGGGATCTAGTTTTGTAAGCTTCTGAGTTTCTAAAAAAAAATTTCTGTGTTTATAAAGAAAAATAGTTAGAGGTTGAGTGACAGTTATTCCAATGTACAATAGGAAGCTACCTGATAAATTGATAGTTATTTGGGCTGGTGGTGGAATTGCCTTTTAGCAATTACCCTGCATACTATTCAGTTTCCTCTGAATTAATAAGGCATAAGTTAATGCAAAAATTGGCAAGGAGCTGGGAAGACATGAGAAATAGTGGCAATAAGAGGTTGTATGTGATAGAAAGGAATACGGAAGTCACCTATGTTGAGGACAAAGCCTTACACTCTTGTAATTTTTTTATTAGTATATACTTAATGTCCTTAATGACCACTTACTGGCCAGGATAAGATAATAATTTACAGGCTTAGAAAGTTGTCCTTCTGGTGACTCTCTTGTTTTTAACCTGTGAAGCTGAAGTGATTAGCAGAAGGAAAGCATCTCCCGAGGGTCATGGAATGGGCAGCAAAGTTGACTCTGGGGTCCTAAAACCTCTTTTTGAAATTTAGGCTGTCTGATGCTAAAATCAGATTGCAGTTGCTCTCTGCCTTATGGGAATATTGCCATGTGGGTGTCATGATCAGGAGATCATTGGTAAAATGTGCAAAGAAACCTCTCCCTCCTTCTCTTCTACCTTTATTATTCTTTCCACCTTCGGTATGTTAGCTCTCTCTTTTGCACCATAGTAGTACAATATGTTGTATTGCTTTGCTGACTTAGGGGCTGTAGACTCTGTAGAGCCCAGTAACCAACTCTGCTTTCCTTAAGTCAGGGCTGTACTCTCTGCCTTGATGTTTTAACACCTACTCCTTTCCGCTACCCCTAGAAAAAAAACAAAACAGCAGTGCACAAAAACACCCTTAGGTGTCTAGGTAACATACTTGTCAACCCTGAGGTTTCTCAGTCTTCACAAGAATAGGATTTAAATGACATTTAAGTCAAGTTAAGTGAAAATCAGGACCCAGGAACTACATTTCTGTTGCTTTTATGTCCTGAGGGACTCAGTCAGTGGGGTATTTTCAGAGTGTGTGCAGTGTACTTCTCTCTTGTAGGTGAGTTCTCCCTGAAAGACAGTGATACTTGCACGCCTTTGAGGAGAAATGGTTGTGCTTCCCTTGGGTACAATCTGAGCAGTTACGCAGGGTGTGGGTTCTAGGCCCTTTTCAGCTTGTAAACGTTCAAATTGTATCACCTGCCAGCCCAGGAGGATGCCCTAAACCACAGTTCAGAGGCTAATGTGGGACATGATGCACATTCACTCTCCCAGTAATGCTGTTTTACAGTGTCTGAAGGAGTTCAAGAAACATTGACCCAGAGAAAGGAGCCTGCCTCTAGCCTTGTGATGGTGCATCCTCCCTATAGAGGGATGGTTTCAGGACTGTTTGAGAATTACAGGTTTTCATTTTTTTTGGTAAAACATGTGTGACGAGTTCTTGCTGCAGAAATGCAACTCATCCTTCCCAAATATGTAGCCTAACAGTAATTACTTCTCACAATGACTTTCTTCAATAATTTGCTTTTAAACAAGTACTTTTCAAAGCCTATTTATTAAGTATACATATTTTATATTCCTTATACACTTTATATATTTTTGAATTGCATGCTTTAGTACTTTTGTCTTTAATGTCCTTTTATGTAAAGAAATGTAATTGAGGGAGAATATTCCATGGATTATGGTATTATTTCGATTTAAAACCTTGTTTAACCTTGAAGCAGTTATTTGTGGAAAAATATGCTGTTGAACATACCACTCATTTTTGAAGAATTGCTACTGTTGCTAACTAAAATCCAAGCTAAATGATTTCTGACTCAGAAACCATAATAAGATACTGCTGATGTTTTTTGGCTTTTGAACTCTAGGAACATAGTAAGACATTATACCTGGTCTGAATTCAGTTTTGACCCTGCTTTGAGCAGGAGTTTGGATTGGAGACCTCCTGAAGGTCCTTTCAATCTGAATTACTCTTAATACAGGGTGTCTGTCTCCACGTTCACCACCAAATCTGTAGGCTTTCCCTTTGTGTTTAGCTGAGGCTGGGCTGTGCAGCTAGGAGTGTGATTACCTCTGCTGCTGCTTTGGCAACTGGACAGACATCTCATCAGTCAGGCGGAAAGCGTGAAGGGGATTGTTGATGTGTGTACAGAGGGGAGCAGGTGTCATGGACTTTGCTACTGTTGTCACCTGCCTCTTTCCAGAATCTGTTGAGGTTGGATGCCTTGGCCTAAAAGAGGTAGGTGGACTGGGTCCAAACAGAACAAATAGTGAATGTTCTCTCTCAGTTCCTTACATATATTCAGTAGAGAGAGGTAGGCAGTTAAAATAAGTAATCTATATCTGCCTCTGGAGGTCTTCAGAGGTGTGTTTTTTCTCTCTGTTAAATACAGTCTAGAGATCCTGAGTACTTCAGGATGACTAAATACTTTAGGATGACTGTGTTCATGAAATGAGGCATCTGTCTGCCTGGCTGTCTTTCTATCTAATAGCTGTGTGTGTGCATGTATAGATAAGTATTGACATATCTTTGTCACCTTCTAATGTTTGTTTAAATCATATGGTTCTATACTGTGGTAAGTGCTGCCTGCTGACAGTAACTCTCTACTGACAATTTTCAAATGTTGCAAAAATTCCATGTCTCTTAGGTCATGTCAAGCTGCATGATGCAAATTGCACCACTTGTGTACTGCTTCCTGACAAGTAGTTACAGTTTTTTCCTTATATTTCAGGGTGTTTCAGAGTATTTTCTTTTTCACTGTGAGTCTTGTTTCTTTTTAATACTTTTCAGGAGTGGTAAGGGAACAGAAGGATAGGTGAGAAATGAAGTTAAATATTAATCTGGAGAGCAGGAAATCATTCTTCCCTTGGGAAAGGTGACTACAGAACTAAAGCTGTATGATAATAATGTTTCAAGACAGTTATTCTGATAGGATAACATTCTGGTGCATCCCTACGTTTTTAGTATTTTTTATCTTAATAATAACTGAGAAAAATATTGTGAATGCTGTACAGGGATTGCCATACATCTCCATTCTAGTGGTAACCATTAAAAAAAAAAAAAAGCTTTTTTAACCATTTTATATCCTGTAAACCTATATATATATATATATACACACACACACACACACAAACACACTCCTTTTGCAGAGTGTTTAGATGTTACTCAAAGTTCACACTGACCTTTGCCTATACCACCAAGCAAAAGGAACAGCACCACCATGGTCAACTCTTGTATAATCACAATGCAGTGCCAGTTTTTGTGTAGGGAAGAAAAAGTCCCTATGCTTTGTAACAACTTGGAGAGGAATTAAACAGTCATCTTTAAGAATCTGGTGATTTGGAGTGGGATGGAGCTCTGTGCAACAGAATAGCAGATCTTGTGTCACTTCAGCATTTTTCTACACAGAGAGCTCATAACCCTTTAAAAGTGTCAATGTATGACATGCAACAAGATAGCAGCTTATGTGGTTGAATGGGAAATTTAGAGATAATAACTAGGTTGTAGAGTCTGAAAGCAAATGGACTTCTCTTTGTGCTACATTTAGCAACTCCAGTACTATACAGTTGATTTGAAAACATGAACCTGTGAATCATTTATGAATGTGGCAACCTGTAACCAAAAGAGTGCACTTGGCAAGTGTGCCTCTGTGAGCGAGCAGTAATGAACTGCATACGTCTATACAGCTTTTCCTGACACTTTTCTTATTGTCCGGGAAAACTCTAATCCCTTTGTGATGTAAGTTCTGGAGTAAATCAAATCAGCTTTTCCTGATAGTTTCATATTCTTCTGTGAAATTATTACTGCACAATAGATCAATGTCCACTTTATCTTAGACCAGAATTAAGTCAAACGGTTACATACCATATTGTTTGAGGTCACAGTACGATTACTGCATTTAAATATGATGAACTTGTAGTCAGTAGCTAAAATAAATTGTGTGAACTAGAAAATGTGTTGGAATCATCTGAGCTGATTTCTCTGGTAGCATGGTGAGCCATAAGAAGTAATGGAATATCTGTTCATCCTTGTAAAACTAAATCTGCCCTGGCACTGATTCAATTGTTTTCCATTTGTGGAGTTTTCTGAAGAGTGATTTGAACATTAGAAAACTTTCAGCAAGAGCTGCTGTATCTCAATTATGGTTTCAAATGATACATTGCCCTCTAGATCATTTGCAATGTGAAGAACTACTTTGAAGTTCCAACATTTTCTTCTTTCTTACCTCCATAATCCTTTATATTTTAAGTGTGATATAAATAAGCTATAATCCAAATATACCTGTGGATCCCAGCTTCTGTTAATTAAATGAAATTGAATTACTAAAAGTCAAAAATGTGACAGGCTACAAGACCTGATTGTTGCTCTGTTTTATATTGTGCAGTGAGGGTCTCAAAACTGTCTGGTTCACCAGAGTTATGCTCCTCGTTCTCTGTTGCTCTGCAGACGTTCCCTACAGCTATGATTGTGTTCCACTATGGACTGAGGAAGTAGGAAAATTATTATACCCACTCGTTGGTCTAAGGAGCCAAGGCTGTTATAC